CCACTTTTTTGTGTCTATGAACAGGGACGTGTCTACTACCACTTTGTCGCCGCGACAAGTGGTACGTAGCCGCTTGGACGCCTGCGAGGTAGGCCACGGCTTCTCTCTAAGGCGTCTGTCGTGACGGGGACTTTGGGTTTAGGCTCCTTTTGACCCCAGGCTCATAAATCCATTCTAAAGCTAAGAAGTGACGCCGTGTCAATCTAGGCGTGGGTCGATGATGGTCGCTGAAAACGCCTGGAGGGTAGGCAATGCTTTGCTGAATCGGGCCCCCGCGGCCCCCTGTCCCTTCGAACGCTTACACACACAAGGCGCGAGCTTCGCAGAGGCATGGCGATATCTTTCGTTTTTGCTTTAGTTTTTAACACTGTTTGCTTCTGGTTGATATTCTAGCATTGGCGGAAGTAATGAATTCGTCTATAGACGGTTCAGTTTAAGTTGATTCGGGCACTGTCGGCTACCGACAATCGTGTAGCTACAAACAGGGACGTACAAATAGGGACGAGGGACGTGATCTTGGGCAGGTGCAGGTTGCAGAACTGCGCGTAACTCTACCCCCCCCCCCTTTGCTTGCTTGGCTCGGCCGGGAGCTTTGATGCGTGTTCGAGGGGCTAATTTTTGTTCTGTGCCACAAGCAGGCCCGGGACGTCGTCGCACGGCCATAGCCGCACCCACGGACGTGTAGGGTGTGTTGCCTACCCTTCGATCGTTGGGCGTCTGAGCTGAGCCGCGGTGTGTGTAAAGCTCGGGCTCTCTTCTTCTCCGCCGCGCCGCATGGTTTTTGTGGTAAAGAGTTGGCCATGGCCGTACTTTGAGGACATCTGGATCTGGAGCCAGTATTATTAAAGTTCAGACCGTAATGTTTCAATTGACATTTAAATTCATGACATGTTGGTGAACGTAGAGAAATCGTCTTTGCACGATGATGCACACTGCACATGGCTTGACGACCCGCGCCCGCGAGGCCTCCCCCGCTATACAAGGTGGCTGATTCACGCCGCGCACTTTCGCAGTTACTGTACCGCATGCACGGGTGCGGGTTGGTTGCCTACTCGCACGGGGCTATAATGAGCCGTGGGCCGTGGGCAGCGAGCATAGGCAAACCCGCCCGCAACCGTGCATGCGGTACAGTATAACTACGAAAGTGCGCGGCGTGAATCAGCCACCTGGTATAGTTTGCAGCGTTGGCAAGGTGAGTTTGTTCTTTCTTATATATTTTACCGTGTCTTCAACCAGCCCCCATGAATAATTGTGAATGAATCTCCTCCAGGCACACATGTTGGAGTGTTTAAAGAAGAACGACACTGCAGGGGGAGAGATTACAGTTCTGACAACAGTGCGTTGTGCCTTAAGCATCGCCCACTTTATTCTTTAAGGTGTCCCGCAATGAACTCCCACTGAGGTGACGAGAGGAAAACATTCCCCTTAGCAGTTGGGTGCTTTTCCATCCTTCATACCGGGTCCGGTCGCTACCGACTTGGCCACGACGGAACGATACAGAGCACAACTTTCGGCGGCATCCAGATCTCAGCTGTGACAGACGCTCGAAGACACTTGGCCAGCAGAGCAGGAAAAATGATCGCGGACACGGGATTCGAACTACCGACCATCCCCACGATCTGCCAACGATCACGCTTTAACACGCTCGGCTACCAGCTTGCTCCT